GGCAACAAGTTGTCTTCCATGGCAAAACACGCCCACTCTTATGCCGGCCATAGCACGCTTACATGTATTTTAAAATTTCTCAAAACCAAATAGGAATATATATAATCCTGTTATTTACTGGACTTTTGTAAGATAAACTTCCTTCCTGTTGAGAAAAAGGCTGAGCAAATCTAAACAGCTCTTCTTGAACTAGCGTAGCATAGATGGCAGCTACAAAAGAACATCAACATCTTTTGTGCCCTGTCTTTCACAAACAGACTGAAACTACAGTCAAGGGGGCTAAACTGAGGCATGTGCAGGTCATGCCAGGGTATGGCTGGTTTTATGGGGCATGTACAGAACTACTGTTTCATAGTCAGATTACTAGGTTTGCCTCTTCTATCCACAGAGGGTGAAGGCTTCAGTCTGCCTCTATGTTCTCTGTTCCGCTGAAATTGTCTGCTGCCTATCTGCAGCCTACATATTATTTCCTGTCACTCTTTCTGGAGCTTATTAACCTCCCTAACCTTAGTGTGCTATTTTTCAAGGGCAGAGGCAAAGACAGTCAGGGCCAAGTAGAAGTTGAGTTAAAGTAACACAGGTCTGAAAAGATTCATTGGAAAGGATATACGTGGACTTGGCAGCAGCTATGTACAGAGCATTCAGATCATCAGTCTCAGCAGTGGCCTCATTAGATAAGCCCATAATTTCTAACCACATGACTGCAATAGTTATGGAGATGGAAGTAAGTAAGACAATACTGTGATGGGATGTTTATGCATCACCTGTTAAATACCAACAACAAATCCTGCTGCCTAAAGCTGTAGTTATTATGTTTTCTAACAAGCACTTCTCACAGATTGCATATAACTAGTAAATACATTAGCCACATGAGGCATCTGGATGGAAAGAAAAAACTCTTCAGATCCATACCATGCATTTACACACAGAAAAATTCTTTTTAAAAATCTGCTTTTATAACTTAAGTATGCACATAGAGTGAACACCATAGGAATGGCAGGGAGAAGGGAAAAAATGGAAGCGATCAAAAAACATAATGAACAAATGAAGGTTCAAACCTAGACTGGAAAACTTTTGTCACACACATAAATTTAAATGTTTCATTTACAAGCCTCTCCTTCTTTGGAGATCATGTGTTACAACTTTTGCTATAAAAGTAAGGAAGAACTAATAGGGAAGAATTAAAAAATACGATACTTAGTATGTGTTAGTAGTTTCATCCCCTGAAAATACATACTTACACTTTTCCTCTTTGCAAAAAAAAAAACCTAAAAAAACCCCCACTTTTGCTGGAAAGGAGTTAAAGTTTTATTTCAGCTTTGATCTAGATTAAGTTGGTAATAAATAATTTCCTCTTTTTTCTCTGCACTTTGTGTTTTTCTCAAGGAAGAGACTTTAAGAAAAAGAAGTGAATTTTGATTAAGCACAAGCCATTCAATTAATTCTGTTTTAATTTATCAACTGATAAACAGTTATTAAGAAACATCTGTTACGGCAGAATAATATGGTAGACAAACAAACCATAAAAATCACATTCTCTCTGCCCAGAAGTACCCAATTCGCTTGCAAGCATTTTCCACTGTTTGCAGTAGCATATTTTCCCCAGTACGCATTTTTGCTAAAAAGAAAAAAAAAAATTGAAAACCTTCCACATATTTCAGATTTTTAAGTCCCAGTCCCTTCATTTCTTTAAGTTACACTCAGTAATTGGACATTACCTGATTCTGTAAACCATAAGGGGGTAGAATGTCCCACTTAATGTTAGCAAAATCGTGCCATATGGTAACCCATCACATTACACTTATACAGACAGATTGAATCATATGAGAACAAATATTACCAGTGGCATCAGAATGTGCTACATGGACTTCGTCAGAAGCAAGCATGGGTAAAAGCAGAGGGATGCTAACAAAGCATGAGAACTACTTGCTATTACTCCTCTGCCATTCCTCCTTAATGTGCCACACTCTTATTTTCAGTTCTCAATTCTCAAACATCTGTTCCACCTACTGTCCCTGAAATAAGGCTGACAGCTTCTATGGGAGGCCCAGTGCCACCACAAAAAAACCACACCCCACTCAAAAAAGAAAAAAAAGAAAAAAATCTCTAAATACAGTGCAAGGGTTAACTCCTTTTTGGTCCAAGGCCACATCAGGAGGTAATGGTTAGGGAGCTCCACTCGGAAAGTTTTTTTCCATCCACAAATTTTTTATTTGCTTGGAAGCAACTCCACATAATGACAAACTTTTGGCACATCACTATTTTGGGTTTGCATAATAACAGTGCCCATCTTCCTCATAGTATTATCTTTGGGGTTACAACTCAGAGCTCTATTAGAAACTTTGCAAATGTGTAAGTATCACTAAATATGCCAGAGTAGGCTATTTTCTGAATCAGTATGAAAGTACTTAACTCTTCTGAATCACTGTTGGATAAATATGAACTCTGAAGCTTCTAATCTTGAAACATTTAAGAAAAATTAATCCAAGAAAACCCTGACAAAAACACAAAAAACCAAAACAACCCAAAATACTTTTACAGCTTCAGTCCTTTGGATGCATCTATCCCCCAAGGAGCCTTTATGGCACCAGCAGCGTAGTAAGCTATGAAGTTCATCTCTAAATTGAACAACATTGTAAGCATACCTCCAGGAAGTACAGGTACATAAATCTCTTTACACATATGAATCTCTCTTCCCACTGAGCTTTGGAAAACACTAAAGACTCCCTAAACCTCTATAATCCCGCTAATATTTTTTGCAAATAGAGGTCATCATGAGCTCTGTTAGCTGCATATTGTTCCTTGGAAGTACATGAGGGGAATGAAACTCCACCAAATCCACATACACTTATGTACAACATCTTCTAATACCAAATCTTCAACAATTCAACTTCTAGCAATCTCACTTCTAGCTGAATTAAAGCCATGCTTCTGTTCTTGATCTGAACAATCTCCCCTGTAACTTCACGTTAGTCAAACCAAAGATACATGGTTTGTGAGGTTAACTCCCAATCAAATGAACACAAGAGTTTCTCAGACAAGCTTCTCAGTAAAATGGGGCTGGAAAAGAAATTCCAACTTTGTTTCCAAAGAGGAAATGCTTCAACAATTTTCTAGTTTAAGACAATCTTTTCAATTTTTTTTTTTCTCTCCCAGTCTTTTCACCCTCCTGCTGTCAGGCTACTATTGCTGAACACTGTATCTTAAAGTGTAACAGACCGCCTAGCTCTTCCCTGCACGACATCTACTGAACAGCAAAAATTGATAGCTAAAAAAAGCTAGAGAGTCATAGTGAGTAAGACTTCTCTGTTTATCACACTGGCTAAGACTGACCTTGCTTCTAAAACTGTTAACTGATGAAGGACTGAAAGACTAAACACCTGGGGGCAAAACAGATGGTCAGTTACCTGTGCATGTTCAATACCTCCCAGATCGAGCTCCCCATATACTACCTAGGACTCCTAGTTCTGTTTTCAAGAGAAAAATCAGATACACATCTTGCATACCTGAAAAATTTCATTAGGTTCACTGGCATAATTCTATGCAGGGACCAGGATCCAAGGCTTGAAGTCAGAAGACTGTAGTGAAGGTCTGGGACTTATGTTTCATTTGTAGTGTGAAGTCACTGATGTGATTACACCACACAGGATAAAGGACACTTAGAAGACACTCTGATTCCCAGCAAGCAAGTTATTTCTGGCAACAGATTTCACTACATTACATACTTGAGGAATACACCTGCTTAGACATCATGCATACAACAGCTGGGGGGAAAACCCAAAAACCAACACAGACTTTCCTCAGGATTTGTTTCTAGAGAAAGAGCTAGCTGGTGGTAACTTGTTTGCCTTTCTCCTGGAAACTGTTTAAGATTAAATATTTGTGAAGAAAAGTTCTTCAGGAAGAGGAATCATCCCAGTATAGGAGAAAGTTAACTCTTATTAATTTCTTTTGAGGAGAGAGCTCCATATGTTTTAGTTTCTTGTTTCACAGATGCTTAACTTCTCAAAAACTGTCCTTGGGACTGCCAAGACCCATGTGAATTGGGAGCCTGGTATGGAAACAGACAGCTGCTTGATTTCAGCAACATTTTCACGTGATGGTCATTGCCATGGCTCACAAGCACCTAAACAGCTTGGGACCTCTGCAGGAAGCAAGAGACCAATGCAGGAGTGAACCTTTAACTCTGGACGTTCTCAGTCATCATCAGAGGCTGGGAAGGTCAGCAGCGCCAGGGGAGTTCTCCCACCCCTCTGAGCACTCTGACTTCCCTACTTTCCATCAGTTAGTCCAAGCAGACTGCCTTTACCAGCCAGCAGGGCCTCCTCTTCCTCATGAAGAATATTTCCGACCTCTTCACTTGCTCAGTTTTTACGGTACTTCTCAGGTTAGAAAGCAGAAACGTGAGTAGGGGTATGGCCCCGCGGGGAACCATGCCAGGACCAGCAAGTGACCACCATCCTTCTCCTGAGAAGGGACATCCTCTGCTTTCTGGGACAACAGAATGAACTCCCATTTTAATGTCTCTTGCCTGTATCAGGCTTTGTCAACTTTCGATAAAGTTCTGGGTTTTCCTAGCACCCAGAGGAAAGGATCACAGCTTCCCACAGGAGCCCGTGCACTTTAACATAAGCGATAAAGCACAATTACTGTATTTAAGTCCCACAGCGCAGAAATATTTTCAGGCTGTTGGGTGAAACTACTACAAGCAGTATTTGTACTCTTTGCTCCTAAAACTGCAACTTCGGAGTTCAACGCTGAACTCGAGCGCGGGTCTTGCCCGAGCGGGGGTGGGCGTTCGCGCTCACTTCAGCCTGGAGGCGGAGCCCCCTCGGTGACTCTTCCCCGGGTACTTCCAGGCCGACGCCCCTGCAGCGCGGCCCCAGCGCTCGGGGCTCCCCCGCCGCCCCGCCCGCAGCTCCCGCGGCCCCGGCGCTGCCCGGCGGGCGGCCCGGGCACAGCCCCGCGCGGAGCCCCCCTTCCGGCGGGGCACTACTCACAGCCGCGGAGCGCCCCTGTTGTCCCGCCGCCCGGCGGCCCGCGCTGCCCTCGGCTCCTCCGCATCGCACCGCGGCTCGGTCATGAGCACCATCGGCACGGGCAGCAGGACTCACCCCGCCGCCACAAGGCACTCCGCCACCCGCGGGCCGGGCCCGCTCCGCCCCCGCCGCCCCGCCCCGGGGCGGACCCGCCGCCGCCCGCGCCGGCAGGAGCCGGAGCCGCCACAAACCGGTTGGGCCCGCCCGGCCGGGCCGGCGCCGCCCGCGCCGCGGAGCTTGTGAGGCATGCGACGCCTCGCTCCCCGTGAGGCCGATCCCTTACGAGCTTTAAATTATTCAGTCGGGACGCTGTCGCGTGAGACACCGGCTCCCGCCGGCTCCAACAAAAGCCATCCTTAATGTTTTATAGGGGGGGTACAGGAGATACGCCGTTTGACACGGACGCAGTCCCGGGGGAAGGTGGTGGTGGCCACGGCCCTGCTTTCTGTCAGCGCGCTTCCCCGGTGAGTCGTGGAAGTAGGCAGTAGTCCAAATACTGGCTTCAGGACTGTTCTACTAAGGTGAACTTATGAAATGATTAGCTGGTATTTCCATCTGCGGCTTTACATCTTGAACAGACAAGTAGGCAGTTATGCTTCCTTACTCAAGAGCAGCCCCCCATGCTGCTTTGCACAGAAAAATCACTAACCCACAGAATAGGTGATGTTGGAAGGGACCAGTGGGTCCAGCATTCTGGTTCAGGCAGGACTATATGAGAGTGTGTGGCACAGAATTGTGTCCACATAGTTCATGAATATGTCCAGCAAAGGTGACTCCACAACCTCTTTGGGCAACCTGTTCCAGTGTGTGGTCACCTGCAGAGTAAAAAAATTCTTCCTCATGTTCAGGTGCAATTTCCTTTGCATCGGTTTCTGGCCATTGCCTTTCCTATTGCTGGGCACCAGTGAAAAGAGCCTGGCTCTGTCCCCTTGGCATTGATGAGGTCCTCACTCAGTCGTACCTTCTTCAGGCTATGGTGCCTTTACTCAGGTGAGAGGACTGGAGCTAAGCTCCAGACTCTTGATCAATTTAGTCCTTCCTGCTGGACATCTTCAGGAGTTTCTAGTCTTGTATTCAGGAGCCTTGTACTGGACAGAGTACTCCAGGTGACACCTCACCAGGGCCAAATAGAGGAGGAGGAGGATGATCACATCCTCCAACCTGCTGGCACTGCTCCTCTTAATGCAGCCCAGGATTCCATCAGCCTGCTTGGCTGCAAGGACTCACTGCTGGCTCTGGAGAGCTTGTTGTCCACCAGGACTCCCAGGTCCTTCTCCTCAGAGCTGCTTCCCAGCAGGTCAGCCTCCAGCCTGTGCTGCTGCACAGAATTATTATTCCCCAGCTGCAGGACCCTGCATTTGCCTTGGCTGAATTTCAGAAGGTTCCTCTGTGCCCATCTCTCCAGGCTGCTGAGGTCCCTCTGAAGGGCTGCACAGCCCTCTGAGCTATCGGCCACTGCTCCCAGCTTTGTGTTGTCAGTGAAATTGCTGAGGAGGCCTCTGCCCCTTAGACCGGGCCCAGTATCAAACCTTGGAAGATACCACCACAGACAGGCCTCCAACTAGAGCCTGTGCCACTGATTGTGACTCTGGGATCTGCTGTTCAGCCAGTTCTCAATTCACCTCTCCGTCCTCCTCTTCAGTCCACTCTTCCTGGGTTTGCCTGTTAGAGACAGTGTCAAAAGCCTTGAAGATCCACTGCTCTCTCCTTGTCCATCCATGTAGCTGTTTCATCGTGGAAGGCAATGAGGTTGGTCAAGCATGATTTGCCTTTAATGAATCTGTGCTGACTACTCCTGATCACCTTCTTGTCCTCCCTGTGGATAGAAGTGGCCTCCAGAATGAGGTGCTCCATCACCTTTCCAGGGACTGAGGTGAGGCTGACTGACTGATAGTGCCCTGCATCCTCCTTTTTACTTTATTTGAAAACTGGGGGGACATTTGCTTTCTTCATTCCTCAGGCACTAGTCCTGATCACCATGACCTTTCAAAGATAAGGAAGCATAGCTACAATGACCATCAGCTGTCTCAGCACTCCTGTGTGCATCCTGCTGGGGCCCATGGACTTGTAGATGGCAAGTTTCCTTGGGCCTGTGCTGGCAGAGCTGTGGGACAAGTTGAGTGCCCTCAGGAAGGTTAGATTTAAGGCAGCACTTGCCGCAAGTTATCTTGCATGGCAGGCACTAACTGTGAAAAATGTCTTTACTACTTGGTTAACTAAGTTAGGTTTCAGTTTGATGAATTATGTTTTAATAAAGCTTAAATGGACTCTGTGGTTTAAAGTAAGCAATCAAAGGAGAGAAAATCCTGGGATGAGAGTTGAAAGTAACTTGTCTAGGCAAAGGTCTATTTTCATGTTTTAATAAAATTATGAATACAATAACTTCCTAAGAACTGACTATTCACATGAGCTAAAGGGAGAATATGTACACTAGAGTGGTTTCTTTTAGTGAATATCTGTGTAGGAGATAGATACTAATGTACATTTCAGATTGAAAAGTGTACGAAGCAAATTAATCACCTTTGGATATTTAGTCTTTAGGGCACACAAGAAAAAAGTTTTAGGTATTGTTGCAATACTTTCAGAAAATCAGTGATAAAAAGGAGGTGTTAATGGTGAAATGCCTCAAGACTGCCATAGCTGCTTGGGCACACAGATCCTGCAAAAAATGTGAGATTGCTGTATGATTTTTTTGCGAGACCGTGGGTTTAATTGGCTCCAGTACAGGAAAATTTAAAGACTATATGCTAAGATGTATAGAATGGAAGACATTTAAAATGACTGTATTTCTGGGAGACACCATTAACTACTGTTCACATAGTATTTAATATAAATGTCAAGGCACATGTGGAAAAGAAATGAGATGTAATTTACAAGGGAGATTATTCAGCCTGTTAGGCCCTGTGAAACATTGATTGCTGCTATTATTCCTTGTGGAACCCCTGAGTGCACTTGGCACTGCTTTGCAGAGCCTCTCCCACCTCCTAACACCAGATAGAACCTGTGGCAATATAACAGCATTTTGTTTATCCAACCATAACAGAATAGGAGCCATTTCAGCTGCCTGGACTGTGAGTAAAGCTGGCACTGAAGGGGCTGGGGAAGGCATCATGTGTCTCTTCAGGCCCTTTTCTTGGGTGCAGAAACCTGTGTGAGGTTTTAGGTACCCTGGGGATTGTGTAAATGTGCACTAACAAGGCATACACAGGATGATTGGAATCAGTAGGAAAAGTGACTGCCTACCCCTGATCTTGTTTTTGGAGGCTTTTCATTGCACTAAAAATGTAATTGTTAATTTAGTCCTAATTTTGAGGCAGACTTGTGGTTGAATAATTCCTGTGTAACTATATGCAGTTCAGCAGAAGTGCTGTTTTTAGTAGGTGAGAATGTGACTTCTAGATATTTGAATAAAGAAAATTTGTTTTCTTTTGAGTGCTTAGATTTTCAGTCTGTCAGCTGTAACCACCTCTTTAGGAGATAAACACTGCCACTGACTGTTCTGTTCATTCATTGCCAGAGGTTCCTGTCTTCACCTCAGTGGTGCAAGAACTAGGAAGGAGTTGCTTGGTCCTGGAGCTCAGTCTCTCTTTTAGTTTCATCTGACTCCATTCTCAAGGTGTGCACAGCTCTCTGATTTAAATAAATCTGTCTTAGTCATTTAGTGCAGAAGAAACTTACATTAAAATAAATTGATGCCTAAAGCCTCGACAGTAAAAAAAGGAATCTTTGCTTAGTTATTTCTTCCATATAATGATATCTTAACTCTTGTCAGAGACTTGGTTCTGGCAGATTGGTGATAAATGTGTCCTTAGTCCAGTTTGCTCTTATCTGATAATGACAGTGGAAGTAATAAGCAATGAACCAGGACTATAGCTTGTGGGGTTTTTTTAGGATTTGAAAAAGAAACTCTGTGACCAAGCTCTGTCAAACTGTATATGGTGCAGCAACTTCAGAGTGAGAGGGGACTCTCCTGAGTGATAAAAGCTCTGAATACCAGGATTCTCAGGAATATTCAGGGAGCAGTGCCTTATATTAAACAAGTAAATGTGGGGCTGCTCATGTGAGTGGAATATACTTAAAACCATACATTTTTATTATGATCAAGTCTTACATAAAAAGGAAAAGCACAAAGGACCTTTTACTGTAATGTGATAATTGCTCATATATACAGATACAGTAAAGCAAGTATTTGAAGATCAAGCTGTCAAAAACAGACTCCTTGTGAGAAAATCTGGGCTGTATTTTTCTCTAACTGGTGAAGGGCAGATTGGGGAGAGAAACAGAAAGTAGTGTACTATAAAGTTACTAATTACTTTTTAATGCCTGCAGTACTGGTGATGCTGTATAGACTAAAATTCACATGTTCCTACTCTGAAGAGTATATTAAACCTTAGAGGGGATTCAGGGTTTTCAGTAATTAGAACCTTCAACATTATGTGTAACAGGACAAAAGATAAAAAATTAGGGATGGAACAATAGGGAAAACTTTCAATGCAAAATAAAAAAGATTTATGATACATATGAAATCAGAGAAAAGCAGAGACTCACTGAGTCATTGAGTTAATTTCCTGTCCTGAGTTAAGGCCGGCTATTCTTGTGTCACTCCTGGCAAGATTCCTGTCTCAGTTGTTCTTAAAAGTCCTAAGTGTGCCCAGGCCACCAATTCCAGTGTTTGCTGTCGTCCAGGGGATGTCCTCAATCCACAACATGGTCTTGAATCCTTGTTGGTGAAATCTAAATCTAAAGCCATTACTTCTTTATTCATTAAATATGAAGAACAGTGAAAACCTGTCTATTCTTTCTTAGAATTTTCATTTTATCTCTAGTGTCAGATAAAACATATAAATTGTGGCTTTGGACTTCCTTTTTTTTCTTTTTGTTTTTTCTTCTATGAACTGTCTCTTGTAGGTTTAGGTGTTTTCTGAAGCATGATCCCTCATACTCAACACCAGTAGTTTTATGAAGGTTATATAAAGAGGAGTTTAAAAGATCACTTCATCTTTCCTATACATGGTACCACTGGTCATATTTTGTGGTAAAGTCTTTGTGTTTC